TAAAACATGGTTTGATTCCTGTGAGGTTTTTTTCCCTCAGTTTTTAAAAATTTATTGTGATTATACTATGTCTCTGATTAAAGAGAAACTCCCCACCTCTTTTAAGTAATTAATTTAAAATTTTATTTATCATTTATTTAAATTCAAGTTAATTAACATAGAGTGTTTTATTAGGTTCAGGGTAGAATTTAGTGATTCATCAGTTCCATATAACACTCAGTGCTCGTCATATCACCTGCCCTCCATCATGTCCATCCCCCAGTTACCCCATCCTCCCTCCCCTCCAGCAACCCATAGTTTATTTCCTAGAATTAAGAGTCTTTTATGGTTTGCCTTTCCTTCTGTTTTTATCTTATTTTATTTTCCTTCCTTTCCCCTATGTTCATCTGTTTTGTTTCTTAAGTTGCACATATGAGTGAAATCATACGGTATTTGTCTTTCTCTGATTGACTTATTTCACTTAACATAACACACTCTAGTTCCATCCATATTGTTGCAAATGGCAAGATTTCATTCTTTTTGATGGCTGAATAATATTCCATTATCTATCTATCTATCTATCTATCTCTCTCACATATTCTTTATTCATTTGTCAATGGATGTCTGGGCTCCTTCCATATTTTGGCTATTGTGGACATTCTGCTATAAACACTGGAGTGCGTGTGCCCCTTCAAATCACTATATTTGTACCTTTGGGGTAAATACCTAGTAGTGCAATTGCTGGGTCATAGGGTAGCTCTTTTTAATTTTCTGATCAACTTCCATACTGTTTTCCAGAATGACTGTACCAGTTTGCATTCCTACTAATAGTGTAAGAGGGTTCTAACCCCCTCCTTCTTTTTAGATGTCTTGGATAATAAATGGATCTATTCTTACTGTAAACCAACAATACAGAAAAATATGGGGTAAAAGTGGAAATTTGTCTTTATTTTTCTTCTGAGAGACAACCCCAACTACTACTTTGATGGGCATCTTTTTTCTATTTTCTATAAGGTGAGGTCTACTTTCATCACTTAAGGTAAAATAAACATTCTCCAAGTGATTTCAAGCTTTGTTCAAAAGCTGCTTTATATTCCACTAAGTGGAGATACTTTTTGAAACCATCCCCTCCTGTTGGCTACACATCTTTAATCTCTCTGGACCCCATCAAAGGAAGCAAAGCCAGAAAGTGGGCAAATAGAAACCCATAGTGGTTATATATGCAGATAGATTTTGCATGTCACAACAACTGGAGTAGCATACAGAGAAAAATCATTTTCAAAACAAGGATACTGATTAATATTTAGTCAAGGAGTTTTTTTTTTTATTCTGTTTCTATCTTCTATAATAAAAAATTAGAAAACGTTCTACTATTTACTGCATTTTCAAGTTTTAGTGATTTGGGCAAGTCACCAGTGCTCTGATTATAATTAGTTCTGTTCTTTTTCAGTCTGGTACCACAATATGCGTGCCTTGTGAATTTGAGGCTCCTTTCTGTGATGACCTGTATAGATAAGTACTACAGACATCTCTGTACAATGCCGTCCTCATGCCTTTTTATTTCTCTCTCTCCATTTATGCCAATAAAATGTTGACTTGCACATTGAAGGTGAAATTTTTACTTTTGAATTTAAGGATAAAAAGCAGCTTCATAAAGCCTGCCTCCAGATTTTTTCCTGTCCCGTCCCCACTTTTCTCTAACTTGTGGGGACTTGGGGACTGTGGTCTCCAAGACAGAGGGAAGGCAGCTGAGTCATAAACTCTTCTGAGGTCTGTTCCAACTCTAATGTTGGATAACTCTTCCCCTTCTGAACAATGAGCTCTGTTAAATTTTTAACCTGGGGATTCCTGAGCCCAGAAAGCAATTTTTCCAGAACTAATCTGTATATCTAAAAAACATAAAACTAATCTGGAGGTTTGTGAGTTCTGTAGGAGATCCCATTGAGTCCTTGGTAATTAAATAAGAATATGTTCGTGAAAACATCTGGTATATGGGGTGGACTCAGTGCCAGATTTTTTGCAAATTTTCAAAAATTTTTCAAACTTTCAGCAAATTCTCTTGCTCTTCATCCCATGGAGATATCTCTCTCCCTTCAATCTTTGCTTCAAGTCCCACAGATGCTGCTAAGGCCAGAGGTAGAAAAATTATACAAGGGAGTTGGAATCTGGAACAGCATGTTTTTGAGAAGCCACTGCATTAAACTAATGGAATTAAAGCATGATCCCCATGAACACCATCAGGTGCCCATAAATTTTGATTGACATTGAAGTATATAATACAATCACCTTCTACCTTTAAATGTATAATGTATGGAGAAAGCCAGGTGGAAAATGGTTTCCTGGCACAGGAATGGTTTCCTTTCGAAGGAAAACCGTGATGAGAGTTTAAATGTCCTGTGCAGGTTGGGGAATGGAAGGACCTTGGCACGAGAGAGCATGTTGTGTGTTTGCTCACGGAATCCTCACAAACCTTCATGAGTGCCGTGTTATTACCTCCCTTTTATAGACGAGGGAGCTGAGGCTGGAGCACTTTGCTCCAGCAGTGTGGTAGGAGCCTGACCTTCAGGCTCACATGGATTTGGGACCCATCCCGGCTTCCCTGGGACCTCAGATGCATTGCTTAACTTCACAGCCACCAAATGTCCTCATCTGTAAAATGGGAAAATGGTGGTATCTCCCTGTGACAAAGGCCTTTTTTCCCCTAGAATTGAAACAGTGATTTTAGATGTGCAATGGTCGTCACAGTTAAAGATGGCATTTCTCACCTTCCCTTGCAGCTGGTTGTGGCCTGTGATGACATTATAGCAAATGAAATGAATGTAAATAGAACATCTTGTAAGTACCTGTCCTTAGGAGGCAGTCCACATGCCCATTGCTTCTGCTGTTATTTTCTTCCTCATCTTTCTTCTTTCTCTTTCTTTTCCCTAGTCTTTTCTGCTGACCGGAATGTAGTCATGAGGGCTGGAACTGAAGCACCCATTTTGGACCAAACAGCTGGGTCTCAGACATGTGGAATGTCATAGAAATCTCAGATGCTGGCTTTGAGATTGAGCTATGGAGAAGAAATAAAGTTTTCTCTTAAGTCCCTGAAATCTTAGATCTTATTAACTCAAGTCAAATCCTGATATATTTGCTAATAGAAATGTTATGAGGTTAAATGAGATATGAATGTGAAATATATATTAAGCCCCAATAAGTGCTACTATTGTTTTATTATTATTATTATTATTATTATTATTATTACTATTATTATTATTACCTTAGCCCACCCAGTTGCTGGTGACTGATGTGGAATTCTGTCCTGTGGCTGTTTTACATCAAAGCCATTAGATTTTTTTATAGGCTGATTCTTACAAAGGTGAGGGTGGATGCCATTCCCGTTCAAAGTTGAGAGCAGGGAAACAATCATATTGCCTGTGGACAAGGGGATGGGCGGTGATATTATCCTCTGGCTTGTGTTTGCACCTTAGATCTGACTCCTAGTAGCTCAGTGCTCTTGCCACCTCAGGCGTGGGATGGTAGATACTTTACAGATGAAGAAACAGAGGGAGAGAGTGACATCCCCAAGGACACACAGCATAACTGCCAAAACCAGAGAGTTCCGGCAGGCAGCCTAACTCAAGGGCTTTCCTCCTTGCCCTAAACAAAAAAGCTTTCCGATGTTTTGTGTCCAAAAAATACACCCGGTGGGCTGGGTGCTCCTGTGTAAAAAGGCCTGTATACACTGATATTCTCTGATTCCTTGGCTTAACAGGGAGAAGCCAGTCTGGGCTGGGCAGGTAGGAGACCCTCTGGAGGGCAGTGGGAAAGATGCTCAGAAGGGAATGGAAGACAAAGGGTCTTTATTTCCCCTGGATCAAGTTGTCTGCCTTGGTACCATACCTAGGATCACCATTGCAAAGACTGGAGTTTATCCCAATAATGATAACTGAGTGCTCTCAAGGGAGCACTCCCACTTCTTTGTCCCAAGGCAGTGACAAGTTTCTGTGCACCTGTTAACACAAATGCAAGGAGAGTTCCAATTGCTGTCTTCTCCAATATCCCTTGATCCTCTCCTCCCTCCATCTGCTCTTCCCTGCCTGACTGCTTGCCTTCTCACTACCAGTGGTTGTCTGGAGGGGACATGGAATTGGAATTTTGTTTCAGAGACTTTTCTCCTTTTTTGGGCCAGCTTAGAGCTTTCTAGTGATGACTCAAAAAAAAAAAAATCTGGTTGAGACCACTTTTTTTTTTTAAGATTTTGTTTATTTATTTAAGAGGAAGAGATCACGAGTGGGGCGAGGAGAGGCAAAAAGAGAGGGAAAAGCAGACTCTTCATTGAGTGGGGAGCCCAACTCAGGGCTTGATCCCAGGACCCTGGGATCATGACATGAGCTGAAGTCAGTTGCTTAACTGACTGAGAGCTACCCAGGTGCCTGCCCCTAGATGAGACCACTTTCATGCTTAAAACCATCCAATGCCTTCTTCTTTGGTTCAAAGGTGGTAAATGACCTAACGTCTGATTATTTTTCTGACTTGATTTTTTAACCACTCTCACTTTCCTTTCTATTGCAGCTATGTTGTGTGCCTCAGGGCCTTTGTACTTGCAGTACCCTCTGCCTGGAATGCTCTCCTCATTATTCAGTCTTAGCTTATGTGACCTCTCAGGGGCAACTCTTCTGACCAGCCCCCCTAATCGGTTACTGCTTCAGTATTTTGCTGATGCCCCTCTCCATTGATTTCCTGAATACTTAGAATAATTCACACTTATTTTGTGAACTGATTTGCTTATTTGAGTACTATCTGTCTTTCTAACCAGAGTGAGCTCCAGGAGGGACAAGGATTTTGTAGAGTAGGGAGGGTAATGTTCATATCATCAAAAATGCCACATATTTAGATGAGATGATGTGCCTGAACTACTTGGCACATGGTCATTGCTTCCCAAGTGACATTTTTCTGGGTAATTGTGCTCCAAAAATATGGAGCACAAGGTTTGAAATCTAACCTTTCCTGTTTTATTTTTTCCATGTTTTATCTCGCAGACATACAGACTGCCAAAAGATAGGGAAGGCATTCACAAGTGCATTTCTTTCGAAGGACCCTTGTGGCAGTACAGAACAGGACTATCGGCCACTAATGGAACTGACAACTCAAACTGTACCTTGTGACAAGGTAATGGGGGTCAAGCTATTGATGTTAACAGAGGATAAAAGGCAAAGGAAGAGGTCACAGGACCATGTTTTGGCCAAAATGAGGGAAGAGGAAAATCTGGATGTTAGAATGTATGTGTGGTTGGCTGACATGGAGTTTGGGGGGCCTTTAGGGGACCAGGATCTCATCAGAATTTAGGACGTCTAGGGAAGGACTGTAAGAAAGAGAGAAATGGGAACAGGGAAAGAGGAAGGAGACGTGGCCAAAATACAGGCAAAGCAAGCCTATCCAAAACACAGCCCAGTCTAACCCAAACAAAAATGACCCAACCTTACCTAATTGCCAAACTGTCACCTGACCTCTGATGATGATGATGTTAATAATAACTCAGTCACCCTGCATAATAATAAACACCCTCATTTGACCAGTGAGAAAACCTCGGCTTGATGAGGTTAGGCATCAGTGATTGTTCAAGTCTAATGGCCTTGGAAGTGACCAGCTGATGTGTTTTAGCACAAGATTAGGAGCCAGAGAGGCATTGATTGTACTGGAAAATGTTTAATGGAGTGCCTCTTTTTTAAAACAGCATTTAGGGTGAAAATTCAATGTACCCCCAGTCATCTTTGTGAAGCCCCTGAGCCACCCATGTATTATAGCCACTCATCCCATCACTGAAGAGCTGGAGTTATTACAGAGCTCCTGCCTGGTGCATGGATGCAAGGCCTTGCCCAGAGGGGCTGCTTGGGAAATAACCCCAGTGACAAGTATCGAGGCCACAGATACAGGACGAAGCACTTGATTTGCAATTGTCTCATTTCATCTCTTCATGTTCCTGAGTTCCTTACAGATATGCCCATATTATTTTACAGATGGGGAAAGTGAGGCACAGCAAGGCTTTGGCTGCCCAGGGTCAGACAGCTGTAAGTGGTGATGCTGGCTTCACAGGCAGTGGGTCTCCAGGGCCCATGTTTCAAGCCCCACCCTCCCCTGCCTCCTGTTGGGAAGAACAGGGCTTGAGATTGTTCTGAAATTTGACCTTCTGTACCTTTACAAGGGATCCTGAAAAAATTCACTGTATTTTTTTTCTCTTTCTTTTCTCTTTGTGGGGAGAGGAGAGAGTTGAGGAAAGAAGTAGAGGTTGTGGAACCTCTTAAGGAGCACTTTCACCAGAAAATAGCACGTAGACAAAATTGTTTTGCAGATAACTTTAGAAATTTCCTAATGCCTTCTCCAGATGTGTTCTGGTTCTGTGTTTATTGTAAGATTTTGACCAATGGCTTTCAGACTTTTTTTTACTGCCGCCAAAAATATTATGACCTAGAAAACATACCCCCCACACTCATGCTCTCAGTTTCACGTACAGAAAGCAGTGATGGACTTAACAGCACTCACCCTTACTCAATATAATTTACTCTGCTTCTTGTTCTTCTTTCATTTAAAAAGATGTGGATTTGTTTTTTATTTTTCTATTTTTTGTTTTTTGACTTACTGAATTGTTGTTGATAATAGAATGTGTTTGTGGAATACTACTCAGCCTCAAAAAACGAAATCTGGCTATTTGCAATGATGTGGGGGTGGCACTAAAGGGTATCATGCTAATAAATGAAATAAGTCAATCAGAGAAAGACAATTATATGATCTCACTCATATGTGAAATTTAAGAAACAAATCATGATCATAGGGGAAGGGAGGAAAAAAATAAAACAAGATGAAATCAGAGAAGGAGACAAACCATAAGAGACTCTTAATCATAGGAAACAAACAGAGTTGTAGGAGGTGAGAGGGTAGGGGGTAGGGGTAACTGGGTGATGGTTATTAAGAAGGGCACGTGATGTAATGAGCACTGGGTGTTATATAAGACTGATGAATCACTAATCTCTACCTTTGAAACCAGTAGTGCATTATATGTTAATTAATTAATTGTATTTAAGTAAAATAAAAAAAAATTAAAAGGTTTCTTTAGGGACCATTAAAAAATAATAGGTTGTGTTTCTCTTTCTTAGACCCTCTTTTGGAGCAAATCAAGTGAGCTGGCGCATGACTACACGTGGGTCCAGCGGGATATGTACACCCTGGAGGATACACTGTTGGGTTACATGGCGGATGGCCTCAAGTGGTGTGGAGACTCAGGCTCTTCTGGTGAGGACTGGGGCCTTTTGGGATTGCCCAGGGACGTGAAGGAGCCCTGGGCTGTGCTGGGGGCTGTGGCAGATTAGTGTGGAAGACAGAGCCACAGATATCTGTCCTGATGTCATTTACATCCTTTTTGTTTTAAAGATTTTTTTTTAATTTATTCATTCATGAGAGACATAGAGAAAGAGGCAGAGACATAGGCAGAGGGAGAAGCAGGCTCCATGGAGGCAGCCCAATGTGGGACTCGATCCCTGGACCCCAGGGGTTCTTTTTTTTCTTTCTTTCTATTTATATCGTGCATATTTTTACTTTATATTGTTTTATTCTTACTGCTTTTGGCTGTTTTTTTTTTTTTTTAAGATTTATTTATTTGAGGGAGAGAGCGAGCATGAGTGGGGGGAGGGGCAGAGAGAGAGGGAGAGAACTCTCAGGTAGACTACCTGCTAAGCATGGAGCCCAAGGCAGGGCTCAATCCCAGGACCCTGAGGTCATGACCTGAGTTGAAATCAAGAGTCAGTCACTTAACCAACTGAGCCACACAGGCACCTTGCTTTTGGCTGTTGTAAAAAACTTATTATAGTAGCTTCTTCATCCCAGGCTTACATTATTTCAATTACAAAAATGATGCATGCTTATTTGCAAAGCACTTGCATGTTACAGAAATGTATAAAAGTAAAAGGTGAAGGTCACCCTACACCTTCCCTGCTCCTCGGTTTCCATTTCATTTCTCAAAGGGGGACTGTTGTCAACAATTCCGAATGAAACCTTCCATGCATGGCCCTATGTTCACATAAATACATATATTAAAAGGTACACATACTATTCTGCAACTTTGCTTTATTCATTAAGAATTAGTAAATAGAAATACAGCCATATTGGGGCACCTGGCTGGCCCCATTGTTTGAATGACCAACTCTTGGTTTTGGGTCAGGTTGTGATCTTAGGGTCATGATAGTAAGCCCCATACTGGGCTTCCTGCTCAGTGAGGAGCCTGCTTCTCCCTCTCCCTCTGCTTGCTGCTCCCCCTGCTTGTGCTTTCTTAAATAAACAAACAAACAAACAAATAAATAAATAAAATAAAATCTTAAAAAAAAAAGAGTCATATGCTCTACTAACTGAGACAGCCAGGAGCCCCTAAATTTTGTACCTGTTGCTATGCTTCCTGCTTTCCAGTTTGAATTTCCCATTTTGCAAGTCAGCTTTTCTTGATCATTCATTGAATTCTTTTAGGTTTTATATTTGTTTACCATGAAAACTTCTCTCTTTTGACTTTACTTTTCAATTTACCACCTCAATTCTTTCTTTGAATAAAATGGAGATATATAAAATAAAAAATCAAATTCTTATCTATTTATATTTTAGAGCTCTTTGTTTTTGCTCAGTTTTCACTTGAAACCTGTATAGGTTATTTTATTGACTTCATGTTTTTGTTTTTGGCCTCAGTTTTTATTTATTTTAACCTTTTCTCCCTATTTTATTTACTGTATTTCCTGATATTTATATTTTAATTGTTATATATTCTGGTGTCCACATTATTTTATAACTTAGTTTTAAATTAGTATTTGTTTTACTATGAATGTTTTAATTTTTTTTTAATTAAAATTTGTATTCTAAGTATGCTCCATGCCAAATGTGGACTTGACCTCCTAGCCTGGAGATTAAGGGTCACATGCTCTACTGACTGAGTCAGCGATGTGCCCCTGAAAGTTTCAATTTTTGTTATGACCTATTGATCTTTTTTTAAAAAACTTCTTATTCTTCCTTTTTAAATGTATTTAATTTAATTTCTCTTACTTTGTTGTAAAATTTCCCTCCTTCCTTTTTAGCTGTGACCTTAAAATTTTATTAAATGGTCTGTTTATATAATGTCAGGCAGCAAGAAATTTATGTTCTTGAAAACCTATGAATGGTAGCACCTTTGCAGCACCTCACAAAATGCATGTTCATTGCATCATAGTCAAGATTTTGGCCTCTGTCAGGAGATGATTCGAATACATCTTTGGACTGTGCAGTAATTATTTATATCTATGCATGGAAATATTTTTTATTTGTGTGATTTTGTTTTTAGCATTTAATTATTATAAAAACTCCCAGAATTACTTCCTCATCTTGGGAAGGGTTTCTGATCTAGAACTTTTTTCCCTGCCACTGGCAGTCAAGTGCATGTCTGTGGACTCTAAGTGCATAGTTTCCAGTGGCTGCTGTAAAAAAGTACCACAGACATTGGAAATTTATTTTCTCAAGTTCTAGAAGCTAGAAGTCTGAGGTCAAGGTGTCAGCTGGGCTGTACTCTCTCCAAATGCTCTAGGGGAGAATGTTTTGCCTCTTCTAGCTTCTGGTGTTTGCTGCAACTCTTGGTGCTCCTTGGCTTGTAGACGCATCACTCCAAACCCTGCCTCTTCACATGGTTGTCTTCAGAGTATCCCTCACTTTGTGTATGTCTATCTTTGTGGCCATACTTCGTCTTCTGAAAAGGATACCACTCATATTGGGTTAGGACTCACTCACACTAATGACCCCATCTTCATTGCTTATATCAGCAAAGACCCTTTTTCCAAAATAAGGTCACATTCCCAGGTACCAAGGGTTAAGACTTTACCATATCTTTTGAAGGAACAAAATTCAACTCATAACAAGGAAGAAGTAGAAAGACAGTTGCTTCTCTAGGGTCAGCTGTACACATACTCACAGAGGAAATATGAGAAAGTTCTAGGACTTCTCTTTATGTACCTGTCCTACCTGCTCAATGATCCAGAAGTGAAGTATGATGTTCTCAGATTCTGCCTCAGAGTCACCAACATAATCTATTTACTTTTTCTTTAGGGTTTTATTTACTTATTCATGAGAGACACACAGAGAGAGGCAATGACACAGGCAGAGGGAGAAGCAGGCTTCCTGTGGGGAGCTCGATGTGGGACTCGATCCCAGGACCCAGGATCACGACCTGAGCCGAAGGCAGACACTCAACCACTGAGCCACCCAGGTGTCCCCTGTTTACCTTTTCTAACCCTGTTACCACTGCCTGAGTCCAGCACATGAACACCCTGCTCTCTTGTGGGGGCTGTTGTAAGATTCTTACTGCTCCCTCCTTACCACTCTAGGTTAGCCTCCATCCAGCCACCACAGTGGGATTGCTTCTGTCTTTTACCTACAACCTAAATTTTGTCTCCAAGATAAAGTCTAAATTCCTTAGCATGACTTGCCCTTTGCTTTTCCTATGCCCTTCTCATCCTTTTGGCTCAGGTGATACTGATCTAAACCTGTGGTGTCTTTGCTTGTGCCCTCTCTGCCTGGAGCACCTTTCCCTACCTTATCTATCTGAAGACTACTCATCCTGCAAAACCAAGTGGAACATCAGCCTTCCCGAAAGGTGCTGAATACCACCCCCCTCAATCCATGTTGATCATTCTCTAATTTATTTGATTGTACTAGATCATGTAGTCTTTGAAAGCAGGGCTTCTATCTGATTCATCTCTTTATCCCTAGGACCTAATACTCGATGTTTGTGTAGTCAAGTGCAATGGATAAAAAAAGAAAAAAAAAGTAGGTACACATGCATACACACACACACATACATATATACACACACAATGGAATAAATCTGAGGGCATTGTGCAAAGTGAAATAAACCAGACAGAGGAGACAAGTACTACATGGTATCACTTATATGTGGAATCTTAAAAAAAAAAAAAAAGTCAGACTCTTAGAAATTGAGAGAAAAGTGATTGCCAGGGACCGAGAGGTGTGGGAATGAGAGAGAGGTTGGAAAAAGGGTACAAACTTTCAGTTATAAGATGAATAAATTCTGAGATTCTGGCATGGGGATTATAGTTGCTAGCGCTGTATTATATAATCGAAATTTGCTAAGGGAGTAGAACTCAAATGTTCTCTCATACACACAAAAAGATCAGTAGGGAAGGTGATAAATCTGTTAAATTAACTTCATGTGGGGGAATCTTTACATGATGTCTCTCTATATATAAGCCTCACCTTGTATACTTTAAATATGTCACAATTTTATTTGTTAGTTATATCTCAAAAGATAATCTAAAAAATTTTTGTGTATTAGACAGATATGTTTGGGAGAAGTACCACAGAAATGATGCATTCGTGCCCTGCACCTGCTATATCTCACCGGCTGGGGCGAGTGAGTGTAGTAGGACTCCGAGGCTCTCTGAGCCTGTGCATGTGGGGACTGAGGCACTTCGGGGAGGAAAGCTGTCAACAAGAATTGACAGCTGAGAATTGGCAGGAAGCAGAGGAGTAGCTGGCAAGGGAGGCTCCTGAGGCCCTTAGTTTTATCTCTAGTTTTTCCTGGACAAGGAGATATTGTTGAGGGCTCATCTCTGCCAGATGAACTTTTGCTGTAATTTTCCAGAACGATGACTCAAAGCTGGTCACTGTGTTCCTGTCAGGAATTTGGAGGGTAAGGTAAGGACTTGGAAGGGATTCAGGGGGCCTTTAGTTAAATTGGGTCGAGATGAGTCCATTTTCCATCCTCCATCCTGGCAGGGATGCTATTGGAACATGGCTCCACTGTGATCGAATAGCCCAGGAAAAACAGAGCTTAATTATACCCTTTCCTTTCTACTTTAATTATTTTCTGTAAACTATGCCTTTTAGAAATGAACTATCAATCTTGTCCACACTGGAGGGAAGACTGCAGCAATAACTCTGTTTCCGTATTCTGGAACACAGTGTCCAAAAGGGTGAGTACCAAAAGGGAAATTTTAGAATTTTGGAGACCAAAGAACTTAAGAGGTCATTCAGTCAATGGTTGGTTTTAATTCTTTTTGGATCACAGATCCGTTTAGGAAAAAAAAAATTTAGGATTATTTATTGAGAATAATATACTTAAGCACATACCAGAAAATTTTCACATATAATTTTAGAGCATTCATGGAGGGTCGCTGGGCTCCAGTTGGCGAATCCCAGCTCTTACCCATGTTTGGGCTTTGGTTGCCAGGAACCTCCAGCTTGTTTTAATCCTCTCATCTAAGCATTGGCCTAACTTAGATTCCTGAAACAGTCTGAATAATCAACATTTGTAGACTGCTTACTGTGTGCCAGGTATAGGCATGTCTTTACATGGATTAAAAGCTTGCATCCTCACAAGAATCCTATCAATTGGGTACCATGTGTCTCATACCCATTTTACAGATGACAGAATGGAGGTGCAGGTAAATACACAGTCTACTAAACATACACAGTAAGCGGCAGATCTGGGAGTTTATCCCAAATTGTCTGACTCCAGTTCCAGAATTCCTGCTGGCAATTACTTACATCACCCCTCCCCCATTGCTCTCTATTTCTGACTTGACTCTAATCTGCCTTGGTGCACATTTATTTTCCTCATAAGTTGCTTCTTTGCAAATGCCCTAAGCAAAAAAAGGGAAAGAAAGGAAAAAGAAAGAACTGGAGGAGAGAAAACCAGGGAGAAAGTAAAACGACACTATTTATAATTCTCCAGAATTGAGTCTAGCCATCCGAGGAGCCAGGGCAAGTGAAACTCACATTTTCTAATTGCATATTCATGACAAGTCCCTGACCAGGTCCCATACCCATGTCACCCCAGTTAGTTCTCACAGTACGTGCTGTGGGCAGGTGCAAAAACTCAGACGTTAAGTGACTCATCCAAGGTCAACGAGCTAATGAGTATGGTGCAGTCGGCTAAGTGACTCTTGGTTTCAGCTCAGGTCATGATCTCATGGGTCGTGAGATCGATTCCTAAGCTGGATTTCCTGCTTGGCAGGGAATCTCCTTGAAGAATCTCTCCCTCTACCTCCAACCCCATTCTCTCTCTCTCTCTCTCTCTCTCTCTCTCAAATCAATAAGTCTTAAAAAAAAAATGCTTGTCCCATGGGGTTACTGCCATGTTTAAACAAGATACCGCTACCCCATTAACTAACTCAGAATGCAGTCCTTTAACAAATATGTTGAGTAACAAATATGTTGAATACTAAGTGCTGTGTAATTATACAGAGGCACTGTATAATTTGTTGTTGTTTGCTTGCTTGCTTGCTGTTTCTGAGAAAGGCTCCTATTTATTTTCTCACTCTCTGATATGTTTTGGGGCAGTGTTATTGCAAACAACTTTTCTATGTGACACATTTCATCTGTGTCAGTCAACAACTTGAAGCTAGGAGCCCAGTGGTGAAGGTGATCAAAGATGATGCGCTTTACCATTGTGAGCTACCCTGGGGCTGCAGCTTTATTTTGGCTAAATGCTCACACATGTACCGAGACAACCTCGTTTTATCAGGGGAGGTCCTTTTCCTGACAAGAGAGGCAGAGCTGCTTGGGGTTTGAATCCCCATTTCACCTCCTTGCTTCCAAGTGGTGTGACCTTGGGGGCAAAATGACTCAATGCTTATTTCATGGGGGCTCTGGAGAGTCATAGATGTCAGACTCAGCACTTGGCCCTCTGGAAGCACTCTGTTGACTTAGCACTTGTTATTGGTAGTAATCGGGCCTCTGTCCTCTGTTCATCACCCCCAGCGGAAAGAGAGAAGCTGCACTAGAGTCTTATAATTCGGTTTCAAATTGTTCAGTGGGAATAAAGGCCAGATTCCTTGGCCAAGCATTCATAGCCCTCTGTGAACTTGTTTTCTTACCCAACTTCTGTATCCACTGAGGTTTTCACCAAAAAGACTGTTTTCTCAAATCTCTAGGCCTTTCTGTTTGCACCTGCCTCAGCCTTTCCTGGGTGAGATCCTATATGCCCAGCAGGACCTCGCTTTTGTTGCCCTCTGCCATGTTTTTTCTATTTCTTTCCTAATCTCCATCACTGATGATTATTTAAACTTCTTGTTCCTCTTCCCCTCCTTCGTCCTTCCCTCTTTTCCCTCTGCCTTCTTTGTGCCATGCACCGGCTCCAGGGCTGTGGTGACAGATGGGACAACCATGATCCCAGCCCTCAAAGAGCACTCAGTGGTGACGACTAAACCCACAATGAGCTCATCTTTAGAATACTATGTAGAAGTGAGCCTGAGCTGCTCCCAGGGATCTGGGTGGGGCCTTTTGGTGGGACTTGTAGATTGCTTTGCCTTGTTCATTTTGTTTTTCCCAACGCCTAGCAAAGATTGCAGCTGAATGTTCGTTGCATGAAGAAATAAAACTCCTTGCTCAGTAATTCATTTGTTCGTTCATTCATTCATTCCCTGTTTCCCTTTGTTGCCTGTGCAGGCTTTCTCTCAGTTTCTCCTTTCTTCCTGTCCCCTTTTCCCTTAGCCTTGTAGTGTCCACCCTGCTCCCGCTGAATGACATGTGCAGTGTCTATACTGCATGGCACTAAGAAAGCGCTTTGATCTTCCTCCTCCAACAATGTTTCTCCTACTCCTTGAACTTCCAGCTCCTGAATCATCAATTTAGCAACCCTGTGAACAATGATGTTGACCTTCATTGTTCAAACACAGATTGGAACAACCACTTTCAGAATTCTCATATGAAGCATAATCCTGCCAGTGGCTTAGGATGCAAATTACATACACCTGGCATTCTGGAGCAAGAACCATACAGCCCTCCTTAACAGGCTGACGCTAAGAATTGTTTTGGAAGGAGCTGCTGGGGTATGGAAATTAAATTTGCATGCTGAGGAATGGTGGGCTTTTTTTTTTCTTTTAAGTTTGCAGAAGATGCCTGTGGTGTGGTCCATGTGGTGCTCAATGGGTCCATCAGTAACACCTTTGATGAGAAAAGGTACTCTTTTCTTTACATCCTATTTACAAGTGTTAGTACAGCCTCCTCCTAAATATTTCACCCCTTGGAGAATATGCTTTTTCATGGTTAAGTCAGTACTGAAGATTTGGCCTAAAAAGGTAAAATGTTTGTTGTCTATGGATAGATTTGTCTAAGTCAATGCTTTTGTCTGATGTCTCCTTTGTGTAAAATCCTCTAACTGGCCCAATGGCCCTTGTACGTCTGGGTCCTCCTCTTAGCTTTTCAAGGCCCGGTATAATTTTCTGAATTCTCTGAACTTCCACCTTTGTTCATGCTGTTCCCCTTCCCGGGCTCCCCTCCCACTCCCATCTGTTTAATCCTTACCATCTGAAGATCTGGCCTGATTCCTCTGTTCCTCGTGAAGAGTGTGCATCCCAGTTGAGCAGTGAAATCACTACTGTGCTGGGCTCTTGGCCTTCACTATCTCTTTCTGGGTGTTGCCCATAATTTATGGTAGTGGTCATTACTTATTACCTGTGTGACCATAGGCTGGGCACCTAACCTCTGGGAGCCCTGTAGTATGTACCAGAAGAAGTGGTGGTGGTAGTTTGAAGACCATGCATGACAGTGGTCTTCAATAATGAATGAGATAATGTATGGCAAGTGCTGAGCTCTGTGCCTCTCAACAGAGAGAGCTCTCAGTGACTATCAGTTAATCTACATTGAAATCCACAGCGCAGCACCTGGCCACACCAATGCCCTCCTTCTCTGACCTCCTTCTCTATTTACAGTTTTTACCACATTGGATACTTTTCTAGCCTTTGTTCTCTAGTCTTTTCCTGGATCAGACTGAGAAGAGAGTCTGCAAGGAAGCATTTGTCTAATCTAATTCTGTATCTAATTCTGCAAGGAAGCATTTGTCCTTTTTGTCTTCTTCTGACCTCAAGCTTGCTGGCTTTTGGGTGAAAGTGTCAACATTCCATGATTTTATAATCTGATATTCAGCATCAAAGTACTTGCAATGGGAATGGCAGCTGTCAGAGACCAATGGGGAGAAGTCTAGGGCTGGAGTCAGAGCAGGGCATCAGGGGCTTTCGGGGCAGTGCATCTCAAGCCTTACTGAGTGTGGGTCATCTGGGGATGGTTCGGCTGCAGATTCTGGTTCAGCAGGTGCTGTGGGCTTAGATTCTGCAGGTCCAGCTAGCTCCCAGGCGATGCTCATTCTGTTGGTGCAAGGCTCCCTCTTTGAACCAGAAGTATTTAAAGAATCATCATCAAAGTACCGATTAAGAATCTTATTTTGAGAATCTTATTCCATAAGGGTCACACTGAATGAGATGGGCTGTTTCTAGTGTAAACCACTGGTCCATTCCAAAGGGCAGGTTCTAACCAGTGGTTCCCTGAGAGCTGGCTCTTGACAAGGCCTGTAGATGGCTGAACAATTCAGTTTAGGGTTAACAATGTTCTCTGCTTCTTCTATTGTAGCACTTTTGGACGTGTGGAAGTCTTTAATTTGCATCCAGAGAAGGTTCATACACTAAAGGCCTGGGTGATGCATAACATCGAAAGTGTCCCCAGGTATATGCTCCTACTTTGTGCGTATATATCCTCGGGGTTATTTTTGGAATTTGTTCATGGAAGAAGCCACAGTCACAAGAATGCATTGAGAACAGTGACTCAGAAAATGATTGGGGCCTCCCTGGACATTCAGTCCATCCCAGCAACCTCTCAATTTCATATCCACAATAAGTATCTACGTAGTCCACACCTTCAGATCCCCAGCTGCCCTGTGAGCACTTAAAAATAACTTCTGCTCCACTTTATCCCAGGGCCTGGCTCAGGGCTTGCTACCTAGAAGACACTGAGATCAGGAAATGTTTGTGAGAACCTTATCACTTGGCTATTTTTTCTTTCTTTCCCAGTGACTCATGCTCAAGTTCCTCCTTGAATAATCTGAAACAGATTCTCAAGACAAAGAATATTATATTTGTCTGCCAGAATAACTACAGGTAATTGGTTTCTTGGAAAAGAAATGGCTCTCTGGCCATCTATAGGTATTTTTCCTCTCCTTGGCCTCGGCTGAGCCCGGAGGGTTGTGGGAATCCCTCTTGGGTCCTGACGGTGATACCAGATGGTGACCTATAGTGAACATTCTTCCTCCTGGCCCAGCCTATAAACTATTTCCAGCCCATTGCCTTCACTGGCCACCTTTCCCCCATCTTCCTCTTCCTTTCTTCTCCACATGCCCCAATCATTGATTTTGCTCTGAACTGACTCAGCTTTTGAGAATGTATTTCCTAGTTTCCTACCTAAGAGGCCTGACCTGGGGCTTGCAAACCTGCTGGCTTTCAGAGGAGCAGAAGCATGTTTTGTCAAATGCAAAGGATTTGTAAAATCCTTGTAACATGGCAATATCTTGCATGTGAAGTTTCTTTAGTTGGGTCTCAGTATAGCTGCCTAACACTTGAGATGTTGCCATGTAGATATCTACCAAACTTTATCTTTTATAAATTAGAAAATGTAAAATCTTAATTTTTTTTTACCAGTAATACATGTTTACCAGAGGAAACATTTAAAATTACAGATAGTATATATTTTTAAAGTCATCTGCAACTGTTATCCAAACTGGGACCCTGACTCATTTTTAAGTAGTTGCGGCAGGGACTCCTTGTTAGAAGCATCTTTGGAGATTTGCTCATAAGTGATTGCTTAGAATAAGATTGATGCAGAGAAAAATGTTCTCAAGGAATGCAGAGGCTGGAAATCGAGAATCCTTTTCCTGTATCCTTCTGTCACCACCTTCTCCCACCGACCCTATTGGAAAGGCAGAAGGACAGATTCCAGGAATATTCACTGAGGGCTTTTGTCTCAAAATGACCTGAATTCCCCCTCAGTCAGTTGGCTCCTCTCTGGAAACTGCCAGAAAATAACACAAGCTTTCTACTGCAGTTAGATGGGAAAACAACCAGAACAAAGGAGCAAGGGCAATTCTAAAAGAAGCATTGCAGACATCTGACCCGTTTAAGTTATTCAAAGATATCTCGTGTTGGGAAACTAGAACACTAAAAATCTAGGGGAGGATTGGGAAATCTACATGGGTCTAACCCTCAACACCCCCCCCCCTTTTATTCTCATTTTAATCATTCCCCTTTCTTGCATTAATGGCCACCAGTCAGCCTCATGCATGCTGACTGCAGGCTCCAGGTGAGCTCACTCGTTCTCCCTCTGGGAAGAATGTAAAAGCATACGTTCCATCTGGACTTGTACAGTGGCCCACATGGAAGGAAGTGATTTGTAAGCCAACACATGTCATTCTGAGCATCATCTCGAGTGTCCTTAAACTTGAAGATCCTATTTGAAATCACTAGTCCTTTCTCTAACCATAAGGTTGTGATATATTCAGCATGATTCTTTAAATTACTGATTCCTCAGGGCACCTTGTTGGATCTTAAGATTTCTGTGGCTTTGCAAGAAGGCTGCTTGTCCCCGGGGGAGCCTAAAGTGTGTGTCATGGGTATCGATGTAGACTGAAGTTGAAATCACTCCATGGCAAGCATACCTTCCAATTTAGCAAACTTTTGTCTAGTTGTTTTGGTATGATTGTTTGATTGGCAAACAGGAGTATAAATACACTTATGTAGATTAGACCTCCTACTGATTCTGCTGTTATCCCCATATGAATCCCACCCAGAGACAAATGCTATTAACATTTAGTTATATATCCTTCAAGTCCTTTTCCTTTTTCCCATACACACACTCACACTTCTGGTGAAATATATACAGAATTTCTTCACATATGTTCTCACAAGCGGAATGAATAGAGAGTAACAATACTTTTTTGGATTACCTTAAAAATGTCAGCATGTTTTTTCTGGTTAGTGCTCCTTGTAGCATATTTTTAAAAAACCTAAAGGGTGGGGATCCCTGGGTGGCTCAGCGGTTTAGTGCCTGCCTTTGGCCCAGGGCGCGATTCTGGAGACCCAGGATCGAGTCCCACATCGGGCTCCCGGCATGGAGCCTGCTTCTCCCTCTGCCTGTGTCTCTGCCTCTCTCTCTCTCTATGTCTATGATGAATAAATAAAATCTTAAAAAAAAACACAAAAAACTAAAGAGTGTATTTCTTCCCCTATGTTACTTCAAAATATACTACTTTATCCAACAACGTGTTATCCAACATATCCAAAGTATGTCCATTTTATTGGAACATTGGATATGAATATTTTTATATATCTGTGGTGAGAGATAATCCTTTTTTTAACATTTTATTTATTTATTCATGAGAGACACACACACAGAGAGAGAGACAAGCAGAGACACAGGCAGAGGGAGAATCAGGCTCCATGCAGGGAGCCTGACATGGGACTCGATTCCGGGTCTCCAGGATCACACCCTGGGCGGAAGGCGGTGCTAAACCGCTGAGCCACCCAGGCTGCCCAAGAGATCATCTTAACAGCGTAACTGCTGCTTCTTTTCCAAAATTGAACTCCCCCTAATTAGAAACTAATTAAGGAATATATTCCTGTTCTCTTCATTTAATGTAAAGCAAAGATAGCTTCAAAATTTCTGATTGTCTTTGAAGGATTTTTTTCCATAGCAGGATCTCCTTAAACAAAGGATACTTTTCCCCCCTGGAAGCTATTCATGTAGGTGATCCCAGGCCACCATATTAACAGGGATGGAGTCACTCTACACTTAGAGCCACTGTGCCCAGCTGGTCATGATTGTGGGTTGAGACAAGCCTAAGATGGGCCATCCCAGAAGCCCAGCAGTACTGTTAGCTGCTTCTAAGGATCTCTCTCTTTCTTGACTCACATTTAACAAAATCAGATTCAGCTACAGTTTAATGAACCACATTCCTCACTATCCACACTTCTCCATAGGCCAGCCACTCCCATTGGATCCTGTGGCTTTCTTATGTCATTTTTATAAAAGTGAGAGTCACTCACTGGCTAGATTCTTATCTAGGATTTGTTCTGTGCAAAGGACATGTGTGGTCTTCCTGCTGATGACCACCTGCCTTCCCCCAGAGAGTCTCTACTCTCTCTTTTGCCCCTGACCCTGTGGCTCAACCCTCTCTCAGGAAGCTTCTGAAAAGGATAAAGCAAATCACCAACAAAAAATATGGAGGTCCCTCATCTCAGGTTACTGCCTCTGCTACATCTTGATCATTAGCTGACATTCATAGCAAGTGTGACATGTTAGAACCAGACATTTGTTTTCATTTTCACTCATTATCATCAAACATCCCTTCTCAGTATTTATTTCTATGATTTTACAAGTGAAATGAAACCAAATTAGGCCATACTTCAAGTTGTTCATTCCTAGACTTGACCTTTCTCTGTGTTGTCACTGCAGGAGAGGAAGCTGTGTGGATGCTGAGTGGTCCGTGCATACTTTTGTTGCTAATGAAGGACTCCTTGCACTAGGGAATTGAACCATAGATGTACTGCACTGCTGATTGATTTACCTCTTTTTTTCTTTCTTGTCATAGGCCTGTCAGGCTTCTTCAGTGTGTGAAAAATCCTGAGCACTCATCTTGCAGATAAAACTTATGAGCCAATCAGCGTGGTCGTTTTGGATCTTTGAGCCTTGTATACATCAGCATGCATGACTCAGGAGACACGCTGCTGGGAAGCTGAGGACTTGGGGGGCATCTTCTGTCATCCTGCCAACACTAGAGCTGGAAGTATTTCCCCCAAAGTTTTAAAATAACTTATATTATTGACATAGTTTTTATTTTGATTTCCTAATACTCATGAAAAAATTATGGCATAAAATTAGAATGAAAATTTTATATTAAGTTATTTCATTTTCATTTTCATAGGTGCTTTTATGTTGTTTATATGTTGGTAGCATCCTTTCTGTGGAGAATGACCATACCAAACCTCTCTTATTGGTGTAGATTATTAAGAGAAACGTTTTAAAGAAATTTTACATTTCTGAATGAGTGACCTTGTCTCAGGATATATTTTTGTACCCTTTCTACAAATAGTTAAAATATAAATGCCATAGTTATGGGTCATGCTGGGGAAAGAATTCTGTAGGATATAAACTACCCATGTACTTTACCTCCCCCTCTTCCAATAGTCCTATGAGGTTGGTACTGTTATCTCCTGTATGTTAGATGAGAAATGGAAGTTCACAGAGGATATGTAATTTGCCTAAAGTCATTCATTTAGTTCAAGGTAGAGGCTGGATTTCAACTCAGCTCTATCTGACTCCAAAGTATATGTGGTCTCTTTCTAGGCCTGTAATACCAGCTGACATGCTTTATGTTCTCTTCCAATAAATGCATGTTGGATTATATTAAATATAATAGAATCTGAACTGTGGTTTTTCTGGGTGGCTTCAAAAACATACTTTTTTTTTCTTTTTCCTCCTCTTTCTCCTCATGCTCAATGTCTTACATATATAATAGGCAGTTAAAATATATATTTGTTCCTGATATTGGCAATTTGTTTTTCCCTTTTTATCTTGAGTAGTCTTGCTTGGGGATTTATCACTTTTATTACTCTTTCAAAGAACTAAACTTTAGCTTTGTTTTCTCTTTCTATTTAATTGGTTTTTCACTCTTCTCTTTATTATTAGGGATATAAAAATTCCTTCTAATTTCCATAAGTTTCTTTATTCGCTTTCTGAAGATGGAAGCTTAGGTCATTGACTTTTCAGCACACTTTCTTTTCTTATATATCACTTAGTACTATAAATTTTCCTCTTGAGTGCTGCTTCAGCTGCAGATCTTAAGTTTGGTTTGTCTCTTTTTGTTATCATTCAGTTAAAAATATTTTCTAATTTAATTGTTATTTAGAAATGTGTTGCCTGATTTTCAAATATCTGGAGATTTTCTAAGTGTTTAAAAAAACAGATTTGTTGAATGAAGAATAAACTAATTTGAAGATCTTTCAGGAACCCCATTAGATGTGTTGAAAACAGTATAAATTTTAGAGTCAGATGTTTTGGGTTCATATTTTGGCATTGCTCTGTTATCTTGAATGAAATACTCTTTGTACTTTGGCTTCCTTGCTACTCAAATAAGGATTATAATTTACCACCCTGAAGGTGTGTTGAGATTAAAAGATGACAACAATTAATGGTGCAGCATGGTGCCTCATAGGTAAGCGAGCATTCCACCAAGGTTAGCCCCTTTCTGCTGGTCCCAGGGTGGGTTCCATCAGGAGCCATGACAGCTACAGCCACTGTGGGTAGTCCACAGATTCTTCACTGGTCCCAGTGTCCACACAGGCACATCCTCACAGGCTTTAGTTTGGGCTGGACATGAAGATGGATACTCATGACCAGTTCTGATGAAGACTCAGGCTTGTCCCAGAGTTCAATGAACTTCATCTGCAGAATGTCTTCAGTAATAGTTCCCTACGAACCCCATGGGTGACCTGGCTGTTTTCCTGTCTGAACCCTTTCTGCCTTGCTGTTGGGCTTACTTGCTGATTTCTGAACTCTCTAATGTATCTTCCTTCTTCACCAGGATATCCCTTGAAGTGTCAGAAAAGTTTTGTTCTTTACATCCCCTTCCACAGATAAAACAGATAGAGTAGCAGTCAGTTTCCAAGAGGCTTTCCCCCAAGAAGACTCATGTGAGTGTTCAAGTTCAAAGCTGGTAGACACTAAGAGGATACTGGTCCCAAGGTTTTCACACTGTGTATCAAGTACCCCAGGGAGCTCTGGGAGTGTCAGGGGGCTGAGGCACTCTTTCCTTGTATTCCATTTCTGTATCTTCATTCCCATGATGACTTCTGTCTCTCTGGAGTTCCAACTTTGGGTATCTTTGCATGACCGTGACCATGACCATGCAGCCATCTCTAGCCCTAAGGACTTTCTGGCCTCTGTATATAAATACATCCTTCATATCCCTCTTCTTATAAGTGACATCCTCACTGAATTACTGACTTCTCATAACCTCATACTTTACTCATCAGCCTGCTACTCCCTGTCTCCCCACTCCATTCCTGTTTGCTCTAGAATATGCCCTTACTACCCCAACTGGAAGTCACCATCATACTTAACTCAAAGGCTGTGATCCAGGACCTAAGTTCCCCTATCTCACTTCCAAAGGCTCACTACTTTCCTTCTGTAGCGGTTCTTAATCTTATAGCATCCAAGATATTCAAATAAGGTTCTGAAATTTTAGGTTGAATACTTGAAAGAACACATAGTTCTTGTTGGAAACAAGCTGATCCCATATCTGCACAAATTCCTGATAGGAACAGCATTGATTTACTTCCTGGTATCCCATTTCTCCTTAAAATAATTCCTAAGACTGTGATTTGAGTTTCTCAGGTAGAATCCATACTGCACAGAAGGTTTTTGTTGCTGTTGTTGTTGTTGTTGTTGTTTAGACAAGAATAAATATTACGCATGGCAAATTAAAACCATACGGGGTAAAATGTTAAACCTAGAATATACTATAACTTTGAAAGGCATTATGTGAATGCTTAACCTAGGGATTTTTCCCACAGTTTTTAAAAAATAATGAAGCAGTTAATTAATTTATACTACTAAGAGCTGTCATTTTTAACATATATGTTTTTAAACAATTCATCAGGAACTCAGTACCTTGGTGTGCTGCCCCCAGAGGCAGTGGTTTGCTGGCTTTCAACTCATACAAAACACAGAAGACTTTAAACTGGTCCTTGAGAGGGCATTAATCCTTGACCACATAGGTGCACAGTGCCATTTGCTTTCTGATCGAAGCACGAGCAATTCAAAGTAGTAAAAACCATGGAATTAATGCATAGTGACCCATTGGCCAAGTTCATGGCTTCTGTGAATCTCAAGTTCCAAATATACTTAGGCATGAATAAATTACAAAACAATAAAAGAATAATAAAGACTTTGTGGAATCATTTTTTTTAAGAACAGTTATCTCTGCAGATACCAGATGATCTCATGTATATGTGGAATCTAAAAAAAGTCAGACTCTTAGTAACATAGAGTAGAATGGTGATTGCCAGGGGCTGGAGAGGGTGGAGAACAGGGAGACAAACCTGGTCGGAGGTCCACATTTTTATTTATAGGAGGAATATATTTTGAATACCTAATGTGCAGCATGGTGACATAGTTACTAAGTCTGTACTGTGTACTTGAAATTTGCTAAGAGACTAGATCTTGAGTGTTCATGTCACACACACACACGACTGTGAGGTGATGGGTAAGTTAATTAGCTTAATTGTGGTAATTGTTTCACAGTGTATGTGTATATAAAAGCATCACATGTGTACCTTAAATACAATTTTTTTTTTGTCAATCATACCTCAATAAAGCTGGAAAAAAAATCCACAGTCACTTCTGGGCTTGAAGAGAGAATCAAATAAGCTGGTGATGCACTGCCAAAGGCCACAGGTCCTCTCATGCACCCCATCCCAAGACCAGGGGAGTTGGGCACCTGGAAAATGGGGTCATCCTGAGTGTGTCTTATGGGTGAGGGAGGTGGGAATAGATGCCCAAAAGAGTCTGAACTCACAGTGTGTTGAAAAGCCAAAAGTCTTCATTCACTCCTCTTTATGTTCTGAGACATCAAGGAAAGAATAGTGCTGTTTGCTTTTCAGCAAGAATCTAAGCTTTGAGAAATACTTTTGTTCTCCATGAAGATAACTCACCTTGGGACCTCCATGTGATGTGATGACATAGTGATGACATAGTGCAATGTGTGATTCTTAATAAGGTATCTAAATCTGAAACAACATTTAAAGGCTTGAAGCACAAATGTAGACCTGCAAAGAAGAGAAAACTCACATGTAATGCACCAGGCACTTTACATTTTATATCAGTCAGTGATCTCAGCCACAACAACAGAATGCAACTCTGGCTGGAAATAAATTTCTAGACACTATCAACAGCTTATAGATTCTCCAGGAGGGAAAAAAAAAAAAACAGTTTGAAGCCTCTTAGCTAAGAACAACACCCAAAATTACTCCACAGACTGGTCAGGTAGAGAAGTTGTTCTCGCCCTGAGGACACCAGGCTGTTGCTTTGTCACTGCCAGGTGCAGCCACTATTGTGTCTGGGAATAGAAGTACAGTAGTCTCCCAACACTTCTCTGTGAAGGATACATTCTAAGACCCCCAATGGATGCCTGAAACTGCAGATAATTCTGAGCCCTATGTATACTCTGTTTTTTCATATATACTTATGGTAACATTTATAAATTATGTGCTGTAAGAGATTAACAACAATAATTATGAATAAAATAGAATAATTATACTGTAATGAAAGTTATGTGAATACTGTATCTCAAAATATCTTATTGTATTGTTCTCATCCCTCTTGTAATGCTGTGAGATGACAAAATGCCTGCGTGATGAGATGGAGTGAAGTGAATGACACAGGCATTTTAACCTAGTGTTAGTCTATTAGTGACCTACTGACAATAGGTAGAAAGAGGATCATCTGCTTCTGGACTGTGGTTGGCCATGGGTGACTGAAACCATGGGTGGGGGGTGAGGGGATTGCTGTAACCAAAGCATGTGGTGGATGACTTATGGTGGATGGCATGTCAAATGTGCACCTGCCTCCCTGGCTCACTAGCCTCAGATTCATGGCTGTACAGATCCATGATGTATGGGCCTGATACACATAAAATGTTTAGAACAGAGCTCAGTTTCTCTGCCTAGAAAATGAGGTAACAAAAGTACCTACTTTTTTGGGTTGTTTTGAGCATTAAACAAGATGATAGATGTACAATTCTCAGAATAGTGCTTAACACAAAGTAAGAGCTCTATTAAGGTTAGGTTTTTTTTAATTAAAAAAAAAGTTAGAACTTTTTTTTTTTTGTTAGAAAATGTTTGTTTTATTTTTTGTTAGAAATGCCTTGACAAGACTACTTGGTTTAGAGGCTGAGACCCCGGGGGTAATAGACAAGAGGGCAGGGAATGGCTCTCTTGCCAACCACCAGGGTTGTCCCATCTCAAACTGGATGTTGACAAACAATATTAATGGACACCCCCTCCATCCCCACTGCCCTAAGTCTAATGTATAATTTTCATTTCTCAAGCTGACCAGGAGTTCAACAGCCTCCCCTGGTGTTGCCACCCCAACCTCTGCTCTCAGTGATAGGAAAGGTGTGCAGCTCTCCTTGGTAGTTGAAATCAGAAGGGAAAAGGTGCTGGAAGTAGACATTGTCTCCTGTGTAATAAACAGAAAGAATACTCAAAAAGGATAAGACTGAGAAGAAATGGGGTAGCCAACCCAAGCCTTCACTTGGAACTGAATAAATCCTGCTTTGTGAATGACCCAATAATCAGTCCAGTTTTCTCAGAGTTGCCTTCCAGGAATTTCCCTGAATGGGTATAATAATAAGATCCACATTGGCCGTTGGAGGGAGAAAAGCCCTTTGGGGAGCCACTAAGTCTCAGATTAATCTTTGTTGCTCAGAATCTTCTGACTTTGTCTGGCTCATGGCCATGGAAATTGGTAGGTTCTCTGGGCGCAGCTTGGTTGGACCAGTGAGGTGGGAAGAAGAAAGCTCTGTTCTGTGGTGTCAGGTGTCCTTTCTGCTGTCAGCTTTCTCGAAGATGGGATGAATCATTGAGTCTGTGCTGTCAGATGGGTGATTGTAAAGATGCGTTACTTTTTCAGTGTCACCCATGACCATTACCGTGTCAAATACTTTCACAACAATAGTAACAAAGTAGACATTTCTGCAGTAACTTAATAAAGAATCATGACAGAGTTATGGAACATTTTGGCCACAGAGCAGTGATTTCACTCATTCACTTGACAAGTGAAGAGACAGTTCTTCTTTTATGAGTCATGGAGGGTGGATATTGAGTTGTAGGCAATAACCTAGGAGTCAAGGTTGTTCTCCCTGTATGTGTCTCCCTTTCTTCTCACAAAGCATAAGAATGGTAGAGATTGCTGACTGTTGCCTAGCATCCATTATTTCCTCCTCTTCTTAAATAGTAGTCCCGCACTCCCATTAGTAACTGGGAACATGGTTTCCCGACCACAGAATACATTCCCAGCTCGGTGTCTGGGTCTGACTACCCAGACTCCGAGACATGATTAATGCAATTGCTTGGTTGTCTTAGAGACAAAGCCACCTGTCCCAGATTTTCCACTACCCTCCCCTTCCCTTTGCTGAAAAAACACTGAAACTCTAGTAGCAGCCTTAGACCTACAGATGGAAGCCACTGGCAGAGGACAGCAAATCCCTTCCCCCATTCCCATCCATGTTCACCCTGAATCTCATTCCAGGATGCAAGATTCAATCTGCTTTATGATCAGCCCTGTGCATGTCATAGAAACTCAGAAAGTATTTGCTCCCGTCTCCATGATACCCTGCTTAATTCTTGACTCTTTGATTCTTTCCTTCTTCCAGACTTGGCTTTGCTGACTGCTTCAGTCTCACTATTAAATAATTGATTTATTGTTTATTCATTCAGCCACCGCTATTAGTCTATTGTTTTCTTGGTACCAGATGCTAGTAACAGAATATTGATAGAAACAGGCAAGAGCTATCTTCATGGAGCTTATAACCTACTCCTTGTTGATTGAAGGGCAGTGGCGGGGGAGCTCTTTGCTGCAGCTTGGGCCTGGAAGTCATTACTCTGCCCTACTTTGCAGTTGCCCACTGTGTTGACTGGGAAACCAGTTATTCAAGAGAGCCGAGCATGATATGGTTAGGATTGTCAAGAACCCAGATGTGCTCAGTGAGCAAAAAGCCCATTGCTGAATGGCAAGAAGTAGAGGATGAAAGCTTCCCCAAAGAGGCGAGGTACTGATTAGTTTTCCTTTAAAACGGTTTTTTTAGGGGTGCCTGGGTGGCTCAGTCAGTTAAGTGTCCAGCTCTTGATTTCTGCTCTGGTCATGATCTTGGCATCCTGGGATTGAGCCCCATGTTGGGCTCCATGCTCAGCAGGGAATCTGCTTGAGGATTCTCTCCCTCTCCCTCTGCTTCTACCCCCACTCATGCATGTGTGCTCTCTCTAAGATAAATACATAAATCTTAAAAAAAAAAAGTTTGGGGTCCCTGGGTGGCGCAGCGGTTTAGCGCCTGCCTTTGGCCCAGGGCGTGATCCTGGAGACCCGGGATCGAATCCCACGTCGGGCTCCCGGTGCATGGAGCCTGCTTCTCCCTCTGCCTGTGTCTCTGCTTCTCTCTCTATCTGTGTGACTATCATAAATAAATAAAAATTAAAAAAAAGTTTTACTAGCTAAGTTGTCTTTTCTTCAATATAAAGCAATACAGATAATAAAAAATAAAAAATAAAATAATTGATAATCTTACCACGCAGGAGTCACTACTCTTAACATCTGTGTATATATTACACAGTTTTCAAGTACATCACATTTTTCATATCAATCATACATGCACAACTAAGAACGTTTTTTCCCCCCACATTTTAAAATTTCTGAAATCCTGATAGGTCTTTGAATCAATGTGTTTAGAAAGTAGTATGTCATGGTTTAATTGGCAGTATCTTTCTTCTTAGTGATCAGTAAATTAACAGCCCATCTTACAACTGATGACATCTGAGATCTAATAAAATAGATACATGTTCAGAGAAATGCTATCACCCTACAGTGATCTGAATTTTTCAATTAATATGTTGCAAACATCACCTTAAGTCAGTAGAACTTTACATTGTCATTTTTAATTGGCAAAGAATATTCCACCATGTAATTGTACCATAATTTGCTTATCCATCCCCTGTTTCGCTACATTTATTTTATTTCCATTAAAAAGTAACCATAGTAGGGGCACCTGGGTGGCTCAGTCAGTTAAGCTTCCAACTCTTGATTTTGGCTCAGGTCATGGTCTCAGAGTTGTGAGATTGAGTCCCGTGTGGGATTCTGTGCTTAGCACAGAGTCTGCTTGAGACTCTCCATCTCCCTCTGCCCCTTCCCCACACTCATACACGCACTCTCTCCCATCCCCTCAGTAAATAAATAAATCTTTAAAAAAATGTAACCATAACAGGAGAGGCTACATGCAGTGGAAGGCTGTGGGTGTTTGAAGAGAGGGGCTATGTAGGAACTCTCCTTACTTTCACTTCAATTTTGCTGTGAACTTAAAACTGCTCTAAACAATGAAGTCTACTCAAGAGAAATTAAAAACAAAACAAAACATTATGAGCAATGCAAGTCAAAGCAAGTCACATGGCCAAGCTCAGATTCAAAGGATAGAGGAATAAGGTCCACCTCTTGGTCAGGGAAGCTGCAAATTCATGTTACAAAGGAATGTATATACAGAAATGGGAGGAATTTGTGGCTATTGTTTTTGACATTGAGCACACTTGAGGTGATTTTAACCAGGGCAGAGACATGTTCAGATTTAAAATATAGAAAGATTATCCTGATGACTTTGTAGAAAATAATTTGGAAAGTGGCTTCAGTGGCGGTAGAAAGACTGTCAAGAAGCTATGGCCATGCTCCTCCTGGGCCATCGAGGTCTGAAGGATGAGTGAATAAGGATTCAAGAGGGTGCGGTCAGGGTGGTAGAAAGTAAGGCAGTTATAAAAGATTCAGATGATTGAAATGTCAGAAATGATAGTGATGAAGATCAAGACAGCCTCAGGAAAGGAGCCGTTGTTACTGGCAACACAGAAGTTGATGTGTCCTTTCTGGAGCACTCCTTTGGGGGTGGTTGAAGAATTTATGAATTAAAGGGCCTCAAAATCTGCACGGGGGTGGAGGGATTCCCTCAGCTGCACATCCCTCTCAGTGGCTGACGCTCTTCAGGATGCTGGTGGAGGACAGGCTGAGCAGATGGAACCTGCCAGAGACAGAACCTGAAGAAAGCTGTGTCTCACATTTTAATTTTTTTATTATTATTTTTAAATATATTATTTATTTATTCATGAGGGATACAGAGAGAGAGAGAGAGAGAGGCAGAGACAGAGACAGAGGCAGAGGGAGAAGCAGGCTCCATGCATGGAGCCCGACGTGGGACTCGATTTCGGGACTACAGGATCATGCCCTGGGCTGAAGGCAGGCGCTGAACCGCTGAGCCACCCAGGGATCCCTAGAGAGCCTTTTTTTTTTTTTTTTTTTTTTGAGAGCCATTTTTAAATAAGAAATTCCCTTTTCTATCCTTGAACAGTGAGAAGAAAGGGAACCAAGGGTCAACGGCAACATGT